TATTTTGGTATAATTCAAAATTATTCTAACACATATACTAAACAGACTAATTTCTTTTTATTTTCTGTATACTTTGAGTACTGAATAATACTGAATCTTATCATTGATTTTAATTTATTACAACTTTCCAAAATCAATGCAATTTAATCAGCACCTTCAGTTAGATGCATCCTGGCACATCAATACGTTTTTACATCTCTGGTAGTTCATCATAGTGAGTACGATAGTGACAGGAGTAACTGATCGTAGTTCACTAAATGCATGAAAGTTAGCAGAGCAAGACTCTTCAGCTTTTAATCTTCTAGGTTCTGAGACAGTGTGCTCCATCACTGCAGTCCAGCAGAGGATTCAGAGGTGCTCACCTTTGAATCTGTCAGCCCCTTGAGGTGTGAGTGAGAGAGAACCGGCTAAAGTGAAGAAATAGCTGCAGGTGTTTTAGGGGGAGATCTTATCTGATGTTAACTGAGGAATGACACCTTAATGGAGCAGCAGGGGTGCAATTATGCCCCTCTCTCTCTCCTTACTCTCCTCCCTCTGTCCCTCTCCCTCCACTCCATGCCACTCTTTGCCTTCACTGACAAATTAAGATTAAAGACATAGATAAGACCTGGTTCCTCTCTGTCTGTCCAGCACCCAGCTACACCTTCAGAGTGTGAGAACAGGTAGGAGATTGTAGCTCAGATTGCACACACCACACTCAGAGACACAGAGAAGTTGAGAAGTAAATCTCTGCATGCTCTCTGTGGTGTACTAAGAAAATAATCATAATAATCACAAGTTTATTAACCCCTGAGAATCCCAGGCCTATTACTTACTAAGGCTTATTATTCAGTAACTACAGGGACTTCAGTGCAAACTAGCTGAGCTATTCTTGTGTAATAAAACTTGCAGGCCCTGGCCTTTTAAGGAGTTAATTTCCTGACCTACTGTATTACCAATAATAAACTTACATAACTTAAAGTATTAGCCCTTCATGATTTCCTCTGTTGTTGCTTAATATGTTAGATGAAATAGTATCAGATCCTCATAAAAATGTAATATAAAACAAGGAAAACATGAGGAAACACAAATGATCTTTCATTTATAGAAGGAAAAAAGTGTGGCACCACCTATATCAGCCATTAGAAAAAGTATTTGCCCCCTCTAAAACTTACACTGGTTCTGGCCCACTCATTACAGAGGGTTTTCGAGCATGAACCATCTGTTTAAGGTCCTGCCACAGCATCCAAATGCAATTAGGGCTACCTAATACCTATGTATATTATTTATTGGTAGTTTCATATACATAATCTATCATGGAAAAAGTATCTAATACAATCTAATAAATTAGTGGAAACAGAGATACCTCTGGAAAAAATTTACTCAAATTAAAGTATAAGTGTTCTATTTAAATTTTTACTTGAGTTAAAGTACAAACTTACTTGCATTTAAAAGCACTTAAGTATCAAAATTATATTCTAACAATACAACATTTCTCCTCTTGTGTCTTCAGTTTAAAATTTTCAGTTTAAAATTTTGCTTCCATTTCAAACTTCTGCAATATCGGGTATCTGATTTTTGTTATATCATGTTACAACATTTTTTTAATTCTAAAAGCTTTCCAGAGTTGCCTGGGCTATGATTAGTCATTGGTATTTAGGGGAAGTGTTTAGTAAAAGGTGTGATAGAAGTGGTGAATGTAAAAGTCTCAGAAAATATAAATATTTTTTAAAAGTACAGATACTGTACAATAATGAAGTACATGAGCCGAATAGGAGGTGAACTGTCCACCACTGTACGTAACACATACACGACATTTTACGTGTAGGTAGTTGCATATGTATAATGCATATTATATATCCCATATGTATGTATATATATATATATATATATATATATATATAATATTTACAAGCCCATGTCGTAATATTGTATAAAAACAGTATGCGTGTTCGAATGTCTCGGCCTCTGTGTGTTTTCTTGTCTGTGTGTGACAGCGTCCATACCCTGCAGCTAAAGGTGTGTGTTTCAGAGGACTGTGTGATGCCAGCGTTTTGTTTCACTGCACTCTTTCACTAATCCTATCACACACTCCCAGTGGCCCGAACCCAGGGCTCCAGCTTAATCCACCTTTATCCCAAGAGAGAGGGAGAGAGAGAGGGAGAGAGAGAGGGAGAGAGAGGGAGAGAGAGAGGGAGAGTGAGAGAGACAGAGGAAGAGATTAAACTCTGTTTGCAAGACAAACTTCTCTATGAGATTCTCACTGGATCTCGTATTTGTCAAACGTCACACATCAACCTCTTAATAATCCCGACAAAGTGCACAGCACAAAGCTTTACTTGATGCAGGTTAAGAAAAGCATTATATAGTTAAGAATATCTGTACTAGAGAGAGTGTACAATGTGATACAATGACCATTTTGTGAACTACGTTTAATATTTCTCATCTGTCATAAAAAAATCAGTGGGGAATAAGTGTCTCTACAGTCTTAGGAGCAACGATCATTTAAAAACGGTGGTTAAATTGTTAAAGTTTGTCTCTAATAAGAATTCTAAGTATCATTGAAAATATTTGACTACAAGCTATTTTGAATATGCAGAAAGTGTTGTGGAATATTGTGGTGTTGTGCAGTGAACATTTAAAAACAGCAATTAATCAGACTGTTAAAGTGTGTTTACAATATGAATTTAGAATTAGCTCTGATAATAGTTGATTGCAAATTATGTTTATCTCTGACCTCTCTAACACAGATCAGCATAGCTGTTAAACAGAGGGCCGAGAGAAAAGCGCAATGACGGAGAACAGCACTTTGTCTGCTTAAACAAATTGATTGCCTTCAGAATGAGACTCAACCACACATTTTAATGTTCATTTGGCAGTACTAACCTGCTACTGGACTTCAGAGATAAAAAACGGACTCTCAGGTCCAAAACCTGTAACGCTAGTCAGACAAATGTAGGTGTCATGATACAGAAATGCAGCTTTGGAAGTATAAGCTTTTTTTCTAGGTTTAACAAAGAAAATAATGAAAATTTAAGTAAATACTTCTGCTAGACCTGCTAAACTGCAGCAACAAGCTGTCAGTATCTTACAATAATACAGGAAGCTGCTTAGTTTACATCATTTTAAGCAACATTTTTTAGTGTCATTGACTGTGTTGAACAATAAAAAAGTGGAGCTGACTACAGTAAAGCAACATACTGACTGTCAATGGACTGCATTTCCCATGAGTCTGTGTGCAGGGTCGGAAAATATGGACTTAAACCCAAAATCCTCTCTGTTTAACCCCTTAAAATCCCAGGCTTATTACATACTAAAGCTTATTATTCACTAACTACAGGGACTTCAATGCAAACTGGCTGAGCTAATAAAAGTTTGGGCATATATATACACATATATATATATATATATATATATGCATGTGTTGAGAGTACATTATTAAGGGGTAAAATTCATCCCCCTTCAACATTCAAGGGGTCATGCTGCATCCCCTGAAAAGCCCACCCTCACTTTTCCAACTGTATACGTCCCCTGAGATCTTTCATTTCTTTAGGAGACAGTAGCTGTGAGAGCATGTATGATGTGTGAGTGGTGTTTGGGTGTATTACATAGTGTTACCATTGGACAAGGAGGTGTGTGTGTATGTGTGTGTGTGTGTGTGTGTGTGTGTGTGTGTGTGTGTGTGTGTGTGTGTGTGTGTGTGACAGGGAATCTTAGCTGTGCTTCTGCCTCTGTGAAGAAAAGACTTGAAAGTAATGCACTGTAAATATGACTATGTGATGATATATTTGCTCCAGTTTAACCACATCATCCTTTAGAAAGGAACATCTGAGTGTAAGTTACTCTGGTTAAACTCCCATTGATGTCTTCTTTGGCTTGATCTATCTAAGATGTTATGCACGAGTGCAGCTGAAAGCGTTCCCTGTTCTTATCTCAGCAGACAATTAACACCTCACTTCATGCTTGTCACTGACACAGAGACAAGACAAACATCTCAGAACAGCACCTTAACCAACCGTCTTTCAGCTGAACTTCACACACAATTTACTTCAAATAAAGTAATAAAAATAAGTTTAGCTATGATAAACTGCAAACCACAGAGTAGTTAACCCCTTACCAAACCATGGACCAAAGTTTTATTACACACTTTTATATCTAAGAAAACTCCATTAGTTTGCACTGAAGTCCCTGTAATGAATAATAAGCCTGGAATGTTAAGAGGTTAAAGAAGCAGTTCAGTGCATATTTATATTGTCTCCTGTGACAGTGTTATTAATGTACCAGTGCAGGTTTATTCAAATATCAAAAACAGACCGTTTAAAGATTAAATGTACCAAATGTGGTAGCTGTATCTTCTTCAGAGCTTCAATGAAGTCATGATTAATTATGCTGACCAAATGTTGACATGGAATCAAGACAACCTTGTAATTTAATTTATAGTTTACTGTTCAGTAGAGGATGGCTAAATTGCCCCTAGGTGTGTATGTGTATGTCTGTCTGCCCTGCGACGGACTGGCGACCTGTCCAGGGTGTGTCCTGCCTTCCGCCCAAGGACAGCTGGGATAGGCTCCAGCACCCCACCGCGACCCAGAAGGATAAGCGGTTTAGATGATGTGTGTATGTATGTATGTATGTTGAGTAGAAACATGTTAACAATTATTTTAGAACTTTACAAACTTGAAACTAAATTTTGATCGCAGTTGTGACTGGTAGGATTAAATGAGGTACCTACTGTTTATTTCTCTGTATGTATGTTTGTATGAATGTCTACATTGCCCCCACATGCTGCATAGTGTAGACTACCCAGTGGTGTGGTAGAGAGCAGGCTTAAAAACAAAAGACACTTCTGCCACCTAGTGACAGAAAATGATGCAGTTCAAACTATTCAAACCTCAATTATTTCAAAATTCAGTTTGGCCTGGAAGGTTTATGATGGAAAATGTTTTCTACATATCTGGAGTAGATCATTTCTGACCTGACAAACAACTGGCAGGTTAATATAAATATAAGATCACACATTGTACATGAACGTATTATCTCTTCTACTACAGATCAGTTTACAGCACCCAAGTGCATTCAATTTGCAAAAACAACAGTGGCAAAAAGCATGCTTGTATTTACATGAGAAAGCTGTATTAATAAGTATGAGGAGGGATGAATATATACAGTTCTGATGAAGGCAGTGCAGCAAAACAACAAGTACAGAAAAAGTTCTACACAGATACCCAAATATAAAGTGATCACCTTGTAAAACTGTTTGGCATGATACATTTTTACATTATGTGCTCTAAGGTATAATATTGTTATATTTGCAGCAAAATAACAAACAAAACAAAACTACTAGTAGTACATCTTAAGAATATTTTTGCTCAAGGCTTATGACATGTTGACATTGTTTACTTGATACCACTTCTTAGCACATTGAACGACATTTGTTACAGCAAATGATCAGGGCCAAGAACAACATCTAATTACATGTAAAAAGTAAGACCAGTCAGGTCATACATGATGTACTTTAAAATACTCTGACTGTATCTTCACTACAAGAAGAATCTAGAATAAAAAGCATTCTGTGCCAGTTTCCATCCTACACATGAAGTGCTGTAAAGCATAAAGGCCATGTAATAAGTGTGTGCTAGGCGCAGGTGTACTCCAGATGTCTCCACTAATTATCAACACACGCTAGAGCTCCCTAGCATATGTGTATCTCACCCATCACATCTACCTCAGTCTTTTTGGATTTGAGCCTGAGCTGTTAGAACATCATAATATCTTTTGGAGCGTCCTCTGTGGGCCTTTCCTGCTCTTTGCGCTGTGTGTAGGCCTCATGCTGGTACAAAAAGACCAGCAGGATGGCCAGCACGTTGACGCCGATGTAGGGCAGCAAAAGGTAAAAGCCGAGCAGGAGGTGTGCCTTTTCATCCTTCAGGATTGTGTCTGAATCCAGTTTAGCCATCTCCTCTCCGATCTTAACCACAAACACGTTGAATATGTACAACACCAGAGCCAGGAATGCCGATGAGGCTACAATAAAAAGAAAGAATATAAAAAATAATAAAACACTGTACTAAAACAGGGTGGGATAATGAAGACGGAGAACCAATAAAAGAGGCATTGGCGCTTGTTTGTTCAATGAGCACACACAACAGTTTTGTTATTTATCAATTTGAACTTTTGTGTATCTGTACCAAACTCACGTCTGTTTAACAACCTGCTAATACTAATAAAAAGAATAAAAATAAAAACACAAATAACACAAATATGTTGCGCACATGGCAGAATGTGCATACATACATACACACACACACACATATATATATACACACACACACACATATATATATATATATATATATATATATATATATATATATATATATATATAGTTCTACAATTACAGACTGTAGTCCATCTGTTTCTCTGCATACTTTGTTAGCCTCCTTTTACCCTGTTCTTCAGTGGTCAGGACATCCATGGACCCTCACAGACCAGGTACTATTTGGGAGGTGGATCATTCTCAGCACTGCAGTAACACTGACGTGGTGGTGGTGTATTAGAGTGTGCTGCGCTGGTACGAGTGGATCAGACACAGCAGTGCTGCTGGACTTTTTAAACACCTCAGTGTCACTGCTGGACTGTGAATAGTCCACCAACCAAAAATATCCAGCCAACAGCGTCCTGTGGGCAGCGTCCTGTGACCAGTGATGAAGGACTAGAGGATGGCCAACACGAACTGTGCAGCAGCAGATGAGCTATCGTCTCTGACTTTACATCTACAAGGTGGACTGACAAGGTAGGAGTTTCTAATAGAGTGGACAGTGAGTTTAAAAAGTCCAGCAGCACTGCTGTGTCTGTTCCACTCGTACCAGCACAACACACACTAACACACCACCACCACGTCAGTGTTACTGCAGTGCTGAGAATGATCCAGCACCCAAATAGCACCTGCTCTGTGAGGGTCCATGGGGGTCCTGACCACTGAAGAACAGCGTTCGTAATTTGAACAGTAAAGTTTGGTCAGTAGGGGGACCAATGCATTCACTGCTCAACCTCACACTCCACCTCTGAGCACAGACATTGGCTCACAAGCTGCTAACTGCTGTGGTTTTATTGGCTTTCTACCGAAATTTCTTCTTGAATTAGGTCGTAGTTCATGTAGATGATGTGTAAATGAGGTACTGGTAGGCAGATTCATTATTTAGGCTCAATTCTTTGTTTGTTTCCTCCATGGCTCTTTATTATTCATTATTCTTTATTCTATTTACTCTATTTTTTATTTTCATTTCCCTTAGCTAAATTTACTTGTATTTTACCTTGTATAAGTTTTATAGTGACTCTTTCAGTAAACAGCCGTTTTCTTTGTCCATTTCTGACTGAAACATACTTGTTTGACTACCACTTGTGCTCTCAGTGTTGTATCTATGACTTCCAAAAAGCCTAGAGTGATGTTATTTCTGATTTAGATGGTCTCATCCATTGTGAAATGAGCATATTAAATAAAAAATAAAATTGTTAGGCTTTCTCACAAGGCCTACAGGCCCTGGGGGTTCCCTCTGATTATTACCTGAACATTACACTACCAATTCATAAACATTTTATATTAGAGGTTTATGGATATTTTTTACTGTATTATTTTACATTATGCACACTGATGTCAATAGTATCATTATTAACATCAATATCAATATTATCCAATTGAATACCTGTGTTCACAAATATGTTTATGTTAGACATGTTCTATGGACATTACTACTATAAACAGAAATGAATACTTCCTGAACATTATTCTACCTATCACACAACATAACAAATGAATTTGAGCAGAGAATAATGAGTAGACTCAGTATTTGGGATAAATACATCAGAGCAGGCTTTAGATCAACTAAGTGGTACTCCTAAGTGATGAATATTATCTCACCATCTGACATGAAGGTATTTTTACATTGTGTGTAAAATACAAGTGTTTGTGAGATTTAGATATGTTGCTTTTCACTACATGTATGTTATTTGAATGCAGGATTATTTTCATTGCACTTCTGCAAATTGTGTAAAAGTGGTGAAAGGCATGAAAATGCTGATACATGTTTCCTCCTTTGTAGTTGTGTGTGATTTCTCACCGCTTAATCCACCGCAGACAAACAATCCAATGGGGCCCATGTAGGTTTCATATGGGTTACTGATAGAGTTGTAGAGAGTGATCAGGATGCTGCCCGCAGAGCCCACCAGAGCTAACACCAAGAGACCAAGTACCAGGCCTTGTAGAGCGATTGCAGCGCCACCTATCTTCTTCAACTTTTCAAAAACTGAAAGACAAAAACAAAACATTCACTAATCATTTTTATAATAGTTATATTATTGTTCAAAATTATCATTACAATATGTTCTAAAATTCTCCAAATGTTTAAAGTTGAATTATTCAAATAAATATAGAACAACTGAAGAATTCAGTACAATCACAGGTCACTGTTTACCTTTCGCTTTCAAGTCAAATAGAAGACAAGAAAGCAAGAGAGTGATGTTTTGCCCTGATTAACTGGGAAAAAAGCTCATATTATTAAAAACAGCAAAACAATATGTTATTACACGAATACAAAATTATGCATTTATGTATTGAGATTGAGAGAAACAGGAAAAGGGAAAAGCACTTTCTGTGAAGAGTTGAGATCTGAAAGTGTTCGTTTCAGATGAGATTTTTCTTTTTTTACAAATATTTATGGCTCTATCATGAGCAGGAAATGCATATATATATATATATATACATATATATATATATATATATATATATATGCAGATGATTCTACAGTGTTTTTTTTCATGATGCAGAAAGTACTGTGGAAAGATAGTAGGTGGATGTCTATGAACAGGTTGTTGCTTCATTTTAGAGAAATTGATATGTTTTATAGCCACAAGTTCATAGTTTCTGGACAGGAACACAATGTATACCTTGGCAGGAGCTCTGATTCAGCTTTATTTCACTTATGTCTGTTGTTCATGGTATAATGGCATTTAACAGTGTGTTGAAAAAAGTCTAAGACATTATTTTGAATCTTTCCAGGAGATCTCTTCTTAAAACGTCTCATAAAGAAATGCTAGGATGGTTGAAAGTAGAGTTGCGTACTGTGTACAAAGTTATACATGAGATTGAGTTCCTAATTATCTGAAGAATCTTGCTATTCAGCTAAAATATGTCCATTACTATTATACCAAGGAGGGATCCACAGGTTTTGTTTTTCCTTCTTTTAAAAGTAAAGTGGGTAAAGATACTGCATGTCTGTGGTAGGAAGTTCTGCAGTATTGAACTTCCGGTTGCCAGAAGTGTTAGTCAGCATGCAATATGAAATGGTTTAGCAAAAGACTGCAATTAATTGGATAAAAACAGCTTTGACAAAATGGTAGATTGTTCATTCTAGTACTAGTTGTTTTTAAATGATTGTATTTCACGTCTAGTGATTTGTATATCATGCCATACTTGACATACCTTGACTGTTTCTATGTTTTTTGTCATAGCTTAATCCCTTTTAAGGTGTGAACAATACAATTTGTTTCAAATACATGAAGTGGCTTAATAAAATCAATCATTCAAAAATAATAAAAAAAAATATTATTAGTATTGTTTAATAGAAGCCTTTTAGAAAGACTAGAAGCATACCTGTGACAACAACTACAGAATTAAACCTGGGACACGATAACTTGTTCTCACTGCCATTAAACAGGCCCATCTGGATGGTATAAGAGCCGTTGAAGTCGAAGCTGTCCAAAGGAGTGCAGGACATGGTGGAGTGGGCCCAGTCTGTCGACATCCCATAGCCTAGAATAATCAAACCACCAGCACTCAAGACTGCGCTGGGCAGAAAGTACATTATCTTCTCAGTGGAAGGCATGGCTATGCTGAGTTTCCAGATACACAACTACGTTCCCTTTGTGTTAGTCCAGACGTGCTCAGGACTCTTCTTCTGCTGGCTGAAAAGGAAATGACAGTGCTAATCCCAGCACTCATGAGAGTGGATTACTGTACTGGGTGGAGAAGAGTGAGAGAACAGGGGTGATAAAAATTGGTCATGGATGCTGCCCCATTCTGCTTGTCTGAGATCAGTTTAGTAGCTCTCTTATAATGAATATGAGCAGGACTCAAGCTGTTACAGCTAATTCCAGATCAGCACTTACAGGAAATCCCCCCACCCCACCCTAACATGCAATAAAAATCATTAGACCTTTGGTCAGAGAGTAACTGCAGTTGTCATGGCATTTATAGTGCAGTTCAAAAACACCATAAAGCAGATTGACGTAGGTTTGATATTAAAAAGATGCCTCTCCATCAGCACATAGCTTTAACACATGACCATGCGATATAGATGAAGGTTTTAATTTTTTTTTTTTGTGACACTTTAATCGATGTGGCAATAATTGTTTTAACTGGACATAAAGAAACGCCATTCCATTATCCTATGATTTCTTCATTGATTTAGTTGGGGTTATTATTCATCATCCCAATTTTTTAAAATTGGCACAAATCACATTCTCTAAATATTCAAAATACACAGTTACATCCTTTATGTTGTGTTCTAACCAGAGGAGCTATTTTTAGTTGACCAGAACTGCGTCTACTGGTCCAAAGTCCTGTGCAGTGCATGTCATTATGCCATAAATCCCCATGGAGATACATCACATGTAGGAGCAGGTGTGTGATGAGGCATGTGTTTGTGATCTCTGACCAGAGATTATCAGCTGAATGGTTGTGTGTGGTGTTGGGTATGCTCTCTCGAATTACATTTACTCTAAAAGCAGATTAGGAGACGAAAAATAAAAATAAAGTGATCTGTGCTCATGTGGACAGCAGGTGGCGCTTCTTCACGCGTTTAAATATTGAGCTTCACATTAAGTGAATGTAAACGAGTACAGGCTTCTGTAGATGTTCTGCAAAGGAGGTTTTCACGAATCCAAACTGGTGTCTTTAACACGACGACGACGATGATGACGATGATGATGAAAAGCCAAGCCCCGGTCAGAACACTAAAGAACGCTAAATCTCAAATGGCTCCCTACTCACTGCATAGGTCATTTAACTGGCTTCTACACCGTAAAGCGCCACATGTTAGAGAGGAAGTCGTGCAGCTACTGGCCAAAAATACACTGTTTGGGTATGGAAGCCTTTATTTAGTGACCTACACAGTGCACTAAATATGGAGACATTTGAGATCCAGCCTTAGATTTCACTTTGACTCAACTGTGTCTATTTCTGCTGAACGTGTTATACACTTGTTATGAATAAGCCATTTAGTCTAGTGCTTTTCGTTCTTCGTCATATCTAATTGCAAGGGAGTGGGCTTTTGGGACGTGGACACCACGAAGGTGGAGCCAATCTAGCTTAACACAGTTGTGTGCAAAAGTTTGGGCACCCCTGGACAAATGACATGTTTGTTGATTTTCTAAGTGAAAATAACACATCCTGTACAGAGAACACATCACTGAACATTTTAATGCTCAATTATGATTTATTTGTTGAATATAACGAAGGGTACTGGCCAAACACATAAATGTGACCTGTGCAAAGTTATGGCACGTTTTTATACAGTATGTTACACTCAGCAAAAACAAAGAAGAAATGTGCCAGAAACTGTCATATTTGCACGTGTTCCCCTTTAGAGGATGTGTTAACTTATTTTCACTTAGAAAATCAACAAAACGTCATTTGACCGGAGGTGCCTAAACGTATCAGTGGTGTAGTGCATTCAGACGCATTTCAGTCAAATCACGTTGTCATTAATAAGAATGTTGCATCTCCTTTTTCATCTATAGCACATCATTTTGCTGTTATTTCATTCAGACATTTGGGATTCTCTGGAGCAGTGTCACTAAGATCAACTAGTGTTTTTAAGTATAGAATAAAAACATATTTGTTTAGGCGAGCATTTGTAAGCATGGTAGGTCTCTTTCTTCTACAGTTTGTAACTGATTTACATAATGAAATGATGTATGAATGAAGGTTAAGCTGTATCACTTAAAGTTCTCTATAGCTCTGAAAGTGCAGTTGACAGAACTGCTTGCTGCTAGTGTCACCAGTCTCCCAGCGCATGCTATTCCCTGTTGGGTCGCCAGGCGGCTCCCTCTCCCCACGGAGGAAAGCCCCTGAGAAAAGAGGGAATCGCTGACAGAGGAGGAATCTGCGGACACCTCCCTCCCTCCTCGCTGAAAAAGCGAGAAAACCCGCCTCTCTGTGTGCAGCAGCAGCGGTTCAGCTCAGCTCAGTCCCGCCCAGGCTCTGCCCGCAGCTCCGCCTGCCCTTCACGGCCCGCGCGGGACTCAGCCTCGGTGAGGTGCTGGATCTGGATGGTGCTGCAGCTGTTCACTGAGCGACCGTGAGGGGCTTCTGTTGGCCGAGGGGAATGCGCAAGGTGGGCTTTCACCAGGAGTGCCAGTACACAGGTGGGTGTAGAGTCTATAATGCAGGCTGCTGTACCGGACCGCACGGTGAGCTCTGTACGGCGTTACTGAGGACATGTGCTGTAAATCATATGGAAGCGCTTTGAGGGGAGGAGTGCCTGTTTGTTTCTAACAGCCAGCCTGGGGTGTTTGGACCGGTTAGATTCAGTGGGATGTGGGTTAGTGGAACAAGCGTTAAAGCAGTGAATGAAACGTGCGGGCTACACAGGCTGTCCTGGTCTTGTTTTGTGTTTTTTTTCTTAACTGTCCCTTGAGGCGCATGTTTCTGAGGGAAAACGCGGAGGATGGGAATGGCATGCAGCACTGGAGAGCGGAGGTGGCTTTGGGAGCAGTCTTAAGGTTTGAGAGCAGTCCCTAGTTAAGGCATGCTGCGAGGGAGTCTGAAAGTATGCAGAGCACTCAGCTCTGTGACAGGGGCAACAGTGCATTTGGCAGTTTTGGCTACTGAATTTGTAGTATGAAAAGTTTATCAGCTGTGTTTTGATGTTTCATACTCCCTTAAATGAGGTCTGGTAGGATTAGATTGTTGTATTGATGTCAGTCTTGTTCACCAGCTCCTCTTCTCTAAGAGTTTGGTGACTTGGGCTGCAAAGTGTTGTCTTTCCAGTGCTCTGTTATTAGCTTTGATTCATTTTTGCTGTGCTTTGTTTTAAATGTAACTCCACATTCCAGGCTGCGTGGACACAATAATCATTCTGCCATTATAGCATCAACTTTGTAGGATCACTCCACCATCTTTCAACCTCATCTCTGTCTGCCACATCTGTATTGCACATGACTGTGGCCAGTGAGTTTAACACGTCTCTTTGTAAATGGAATCCTACGAAGCCCTGCTGGTGACATATCGCATAAATAAAAATAATGCATGGTCACTACTTAGCAAGACGTGGGAACGAGATAATTAGGTTGTGGCCACAGCTTAGTAAGGTGTGGAAATGACATAATTAAGTTGTGGCCATGACTTAGTAAGGCGTGGGAATGAGAAAATTAATTAATCCTAATTAAAAAAGCATGATCTTGTTCCCACGCCTTACTAAGTTGTGGCCATGACTTCATTGTCTCATTCCCATGCCTTATTAAGTCATGGCCACACATTCGATCTCAATCCCACGCCTTACTATGTTGTGGCCATGACTTTATTATCTGGTTTCCACATCTTACTAAGTTGTGGGCCACGCATTATTTTTATTTATACAGAATGTCACCAGCAGGGCTCCGTAGAATCCGTTGAAAATCCATCAGTAACAGTCACTTCAGAACACTTTGGCTTCTGTTATAAGTTTGTTTCAAATAAATGTGTTTTCTGTTCTTATATTAAGTACAAGAAAACAGATCAAACTAGATCACAGTTGTAATGGACCATATAATCCAGATTAAATAAGTAGAGATTAATTTCAAAAGCTCTGAGACAGGGCTGGGCGATATGACTATGTATATATATATATATATATATATATATATATCATGATAACCTATGTCACAATACAATATAATATGCTTTTATGAGCATATCATGAATATCTTAAGTACTTGTAGAACACTGACCGACTGCTTGTTTCGCTATAAGGAGAGCAAAATTAGTCCCGTTTAATAGGATTTAGTGCATGTATGCCAAATATTGAATAAAAATCATTGTGTTCACAGTTTTTGATAGTATTTTTTAAAATGTAGCGCTACTGGTTCTTTTTTCTCTGTTCCAACTGATCAGAGTTAATGAGTATAATGTATATTATAAAATATAATGATATTATATATTTGCCATATCGCCCACCTCTACCCTGAAGTACTCCTTTACGAAATGTATTCTTTACCTATTTAGGATTTGCCAAAATCAGACATAAGACAACATTTTAGATCAATAGAAATTAGCTTTCCTTGTGTAGACTACACTGCTACAGATTGTATATTAGGCACAGTTCAGCACACAGTTAACTATGAGCATCAATGACAGAGTCATGAGGTGCCCATAGGTTGAAAGCTCAACTGTAGGCCTGCATGCTGTGGTCTCACACTGAGGGTTTTTCCACTGTTTTGCGAAATACCTGTTTAGGATTACATTACATTGGTATTCTCCCGGTTACTCGTTGATATAAATGATGACGTATGTGTTCCTGATTTATTGCTCAAAAGAATTTGGGAGGTCTTGTATTCTGAACTTGCTGGAAATTTCTTTTCACATGTCACATACCTGCATTGCTAAGCTGTTCCTTCTTGACCCACTGGTACACCTGACCTTTCCTTTACCTCCTGCAGTGAGGCAGTGAAGTGAAATACAGTATAGCGCTGTTACACAGCGATTTCAGCACATGAGCTGTATGCAGATAAAAAGCTCTGTGTGAAGTCCCTCGGAATTGTTCCTCCAGACAGTCAATATAACATCAAATGTGTTCATCCTGAATTTGAGTGAATCATGTGAATCCAGCACCATGTTGACTGGGGGATCCAGGGACCCCTGCTGCGCTGCGCGTTCTCCGAGGTGCTGCTGCATTTAACATTCTCTTTGAAGCTTGCCTGCTTGTGGGTGGGGAGGAGAACCATCTAATTGGTTTAAAGGCAGTTTAAGAGGTGAATCTTGTTTCTTGCACAGATTTTGTTAGATCTCCCTGGGCTGGAACAAAGGATTCGTGCTTTATGTCTACAAAGGCAAAACAGACACACACAAAAAAAGAAGTTAGAGCATGCAGACTCTGTCTGAACCAGACCTAACTTTGTCCTACAAGTGTTTAGTTTCATTATGAAAAGGCTTCCTGCTGTGGTCCTCTCTCTAGAAGTCACACTGTTAATGTGTTGTCCTGTGGGTAAGAGAAATGGACAGAAGCTGCTCACCTTGTCCAGTGGCTGATGAATATCCTGGCATATAAATCACTCAAGTTGATCAGTGCTCATATAAACCTATAATTACCTTCTCCAAGTGTCTCTCCTTCTAAATTTCTCCTTGAATTTTGAGAGTTGTTTAACTCACTTAAGGTGTGGATTAATCAAACAGAGTTACAGGATCAAGCTTCTTTATCAACCCTTAAAATGGGTTATTCAAAGGTTCTTTAGTAAAGGCAATGGTAATATGAATAACCATGACCTTGAACCTTTTTTTGGTACTGAGCCGTTGTATTCCAAGAATGTACTCAGAATCCATTCAGAAACAACATGATTGCAGCACTCTAGGAATGTCGTTCAGGAGATCAAACATGTCTGTGTTTATGTGTTTTTGTGTGTGTGACAGTGTTCATAACTTTGTTTTTCTTTGCTGGTTCTGTGGTTTATTTCAGTATACTGAAATGCAGGAAAGCACAGTGTAAGAAGCTCTGGAGACACAGTGGCCAGCTGGTCACTTCCTGCCTCTGAGCAGGAAGCCAGGACACCCCCCCCTCAACCCCCCGACCCTGCTCCACACACTTTACACACTCTGTCTAGGTCGCACACACACAAACACAGGACTTCTTTAAGCACCCATTCATGACTTCCTCTTTTTAGTACGCCTGTCTATGTGGTTGACACAGGACTAACACCCCCAACCATCTCTCACACATAGTTAATCAACACACGTTGAGAAATTCTGTTGAAAGTGTGGCTTCTAACTTTTTAAAAAATCCACATTTTTGTTTGTGAGTAGGGCTGTGTTCAAAATGTTGATGCACAAAAAGGTACTAAACTGTAACTGGGGTACGACTTCAGCGCACTCTTAAATAAAGATGGTTTTTCAAAGTTTCTTTAGTAAAGACAGTGGTTATATATAAAACCATGAACCCGCAAAGAACCATTTGCATGTTTAAAGGGTTCATTGGATCATGAAATGGTTCTTCAGATTGATAGAGAATGTGTTGTATATGGGTTGGATATGCTATTGTTATGTCAAGCAGGTACATTTTTCGTTTGTCAAGGTACAAACAATGTAAATGTTCCCTCAAAGGTACAACAGTGGTTTTAATTGGTCCAACTGTGTACCTTACACACATTTTTCCCAGTGGAAAAGTACATATTTGTTTCTTTTCATAACCTAATGTTTTAAAACAGAACAATAAAATAAAAAGCCTGGAGACGAGACGGGGTGTGTGGATTTAATACAACTTTTGGATTATGATATTATTATTTCATTTTTCTATTTTAAAACATTGGGTTATAAAAAAAAAGCATTTTTTTCCTCCTGGGAAAGTGAAAATAATGTACCTTTAAAACCTATTTAAGGTTCACAATTGGACCCTAAGACTGTCGCTGTTCTTTTGAGGCTACTTTTACATTGTTTGTTACTTGATGAAAAGTGCAGTATATCGTGGATAAGCTTGAGACAGCATGCATATCAGTTCAACGATGGCTGTATTGATATGTATGAATTTACTTTAACACTCTTACTTTAACAGAAAGTTTATTCATTAGTTATCATGTGCTGTTGTGTGTGAAGTGAGTATCTTTTACTAACTGTTGTTAAGGCCTGTATGATTGTTGTTAGTTGTGCACTCAAGTTAGTTTCACTTTCACATATGTAGCTTAATTTGCAGTTTTAATGAGTTATTAGTTTGTAGCTGCTGTGATCAGTGTTTAGCTGTTTGCAATTTGGTTATGAGTTTGTGGAGCTGCTTTGTGTTACAGTGCTGTTAAATGGTAAACCATTAATATAACTGTGCTATATCTGATCTGTGGACTTCTAAGGGTTAAGGTTAGTTGCTGCTCTTAGCTTGGGCAGAGCTGTATGACAGAAAGGGCGTGGTTCCATCTGGTGTAGGCCATGTGCTTGCCACTGAGATGATTGTTACTCAGCTGTGCAAACACGACCTCACTGTTTTACCTGCCTCCTATCTGTCCCTCAGCACACTGCTGCGAGACTTGAACTCTGCCACAAGCCTTAAATTCTGCCTCAAATGCTTCCAGATAGCACACAGCTTAACCCAACACTTGAGAATATACTGTAAATATTGAGCAAAGGAATGTAGAAGTGTTGGTTAGAGGGATAGTCAGTAGGTCAACTAAGCAAGGGTGCTTCTTTATGC